CTACTGGGAGCACAGCATCCCACGATGGACTTGACTCAGGGTATCTGCTGAAACCTGGATGATGCAGCCCAGCCTCTCCGTGGGTCTCCAGGCTCCATGGTGTCTCCTGCCAGGCAGCCTTGGGGGCTGCAGGAAACAGCGCGGCCAGTGGCCCTGACCACACCCTCCTCAACTGCGAAGGGGTCCACCACCACCCTACGGGCTTCCCAGGTGGCCAGTGGTAAAGGATCTGCCTGCCAACGCAGGAGTCACAAGAGACACAGGTTTGATCCCTGGGTTGGGCAGATCCCCTGGAGGAGGGCATGGCAGCCCATTCTGGTATTCTTACCTGGAGAATCCCAAGGACAGAGGAACTGTCGGGCTACAGTCCATGGGGTCACAGAGAGTTGGACGTGGCTGAGAGTGCAGGCACTGTGTTATACAAGATTCTGTATTCGTACACAGTATTCAAATACTATAAAATCTTCAGACATGGTGTAGGCACAGGCTCTGTGAGCAGGACAGGCAAGGCGGTACCTGGAATAGGTATTGACAGCAGTGAGAAAGTGTAGGAAGCAGACTGATGTAATCCACTGACCACCAAGCGGCCAGATGGGCCCCTCACGGAATGGCATTTTATCAGGGCCTCATGTGATCCAAGCCCACTACGGGGCCCATATGTATTTTTCATCCCTGCCACCGTATCTCCTGCATCACGCACTTGTGGCAGCACTGGGTGTGCCGATGACAGAAACTGCCTGGCACCAACCAGCAGAGTCATTCCATCTCCCTGATTATTTGCTGCTTCTCTGGCGGTTGCCGTCTAGTGGCTGGTAACAGGCGATGAAGGCTCTTCACGCTTTGCACCTACTCCATGGTTCACCCACATTCCATTCTCCAAACCATGTTGATCCTATTCTTCTTATCTTTCTCTTTCCAGTCTCCTAACTGATCACCCAAGCCATTACTCACTATCCAGGAGTCCAGGCTCTGTCCTTAGGGCCCATCTCGTTCCTCATAGAGTACATGTGGGTTCACCGTCCAAAACTCTGTCATTGGGAGGGTTTCTCTTCACCTCCATTTTCTGGGACATTCCAAGTGTGCAACGGCTTACTCCCACATGCTGAGCCAACTCAGTTCAGTTCACTCCGTCATGTCCTACTCTTTGTGACCCCATGGACTGCAGCATGCCAGGCCTCCCTGTCCATCAACAACTCCCACAGTTTACTCAAACTCAGGTCCATTGAGTCAGTGATGTCATCCAATCATCTCATCCTCTGTCATCCCCTTCTCTTCCCACCTTCAATCTTTCCCAGGATCAGGGTCTTTTCCAATGAGTCAGCTCTTCACATCAGGTGGCCAAAAGTACTGGAGTTTAAGCTTCAGCATCAGTCCTTCCAATGAATGTTCGGGACTGATCTCCTTGAGGATGTACTGGTTGGATCTCCTTGCAATCCAAGGGACTGTCCAGAGTCTTCTAATTTCATGGCTGCAGTCACCATCTGCAGTGATTTTGGAGCCCCAAAAAACAAAGTCTGCCACTGTTTCCGTTGTCTCCCCGTCTATTTGCCACAATGTGATGGGACTGGATGCCATGAGCTTAGTTTTCTGAATGTTGAATTTTAAGCCAACTTTTTCTCTCCCTCTTTCACTTTCATCAAGAGGCTCTTTAGTTCTTTGCTTTCTGCCATAAGGGTAGTGTTATCTGCATATCTGAGGTTATTGATTTTTCTCCCAGCAATCTTGATTCCAGCTTGTGCTTCACCTAGTCTGGCATTTCTCATGATGTACTCTGCATATAATTTAAATAAACATGGTGACAATATACAGCCTTGATGTACTTCTTTCCAGATTTGCAACCAGTCTGTTGTTCCATGTCCAGTTCTAACTGTCACTTCATGACCTGCATACAGATTTCTCAGGAGGCAGGTCAGGTGGTCTGGTATTCCCATCTCTTTCAGAATTTTCCACAATTTATTGTGATCCACACAGTCAAAGGCTTTGGCATAGTCAATGAAGCAGAAGTAGACGTTTTTCTGGAACGCTCTTGCTTTTTCGATGATCTAGGGGATGTTGGCAATTTGATCTCTGATTCCTCTGCCTTTTCTAAATCCAGCTTGAGCATCTGGAATTTCATGATTCAAGTACTGTTGGAGCCTGGCTTGGAGAATTTTGAGTGTTATTTTACTAACATGTGAGATGGGTACAACTGTGGGGTAGTTTGAGCATTCTTTGCCATTGCCTTTATTTGGGATTGGAATGAAAACTGACCTTTTCCAGTCCCGTGGCCACTGCTGAGTTTTCCAAATTTGCTGGCATATTGGGTGCAGCACTTTTGCAGCATCATCTTTTAGGATTTGAAATAGCTCAACTGGAATTCCATCACCTCCACTAGCTTTATTCATAGTGATGCTTCCTAAGGCCCACTTGACTTTGCATTCCAGGATGTCTGGCTCTAAGTGAGTGATAACAACATCATGATTATCTGGGTTGTGAAGATCATTTTTGTATAGTTCTTCTGTATATTCTTGCCAATTCTTCTTAATATCTTCTGCTTCTGTTGGGTCCATACCATTTCTGTCCTTTATTGTGCCCATCTTCGCATGAAATGTTCCCTTGATATCTCTAATTTTCTTGAAGAGATCTCGAGACTTTCCCATTCTATTGTTTTCCTCTATTTTTTTGCACTGATCACTGAGGAAGCTTTTCTTATCTCTCCTTGCTATTCTTTGGAACTCAGCATTCAAATGCATATATCTTTCCTTTTCTCCTTTGCCTTTTGCTTCTCTTCTTTTCGCAGCTATTTGTAAGGACTCCCCAGATAAGCATTTTGCCTTTTTGCATTTCTTTTTCTTGGGGATGGCTTTGATCACTGCCTCCTGTACAGTGTCTTGAGCCTCTGTTCATAGTTCTTCAGGCTCTCTGTCTATCAGATCTAATCCCTTGACTCTATTAGTCACTTCCATTGTACAATCGTAAGGGACTTGATTTAGGTCATACCTGAATGGTCTGGTGGTTTTACCTACTTTCTTCAATTTACATCTGTATTTGGCAATAAGGAGTTCATGATCTGAGCCACAGTCAGCTCCCAGTCTTGTTTTTGCTGACTTTTTAGAGCTTCTCCATCTTTGGCTGCAAAGAATATAATCAATCTGGTTTTGGTATTGACCATCTAGTGATGTCCATCTGTAGTCTTCTCTTGTGCTTTTGGAAGAGGGTGTTTGCTATGACCAATGCATTCTCTATTAATTTAAACTCTAAACTCTATTAGTCTTTGCCCTGCTTAATTCTGTACTCCAAGGCCAAATTTGCCTATTACTCCAGGTATCTCTTGATGTCCTACTTTTGTATTCCAGTCACCTATAATGAAATGGACATCTTTTTTGGGTATTAGTTCTAGAAGGTCTTGTAAATCTACATAGAACTGTTCAACTTCAGCTTTTTCAGCATTACTAGTCAGGGCATAGTCTTGGATTACTGTGATATTGAATGGTTTGCCTTGGAAATGAACAGAGATCATTCTGTTGTTTTTGAGATTGCATCCAAGTACTGCATTTTGACTCTTTTGTTGACTATGAGGGCTACTCCATTTCTTCTAAGGGATTCCTGCCCACAGTAGTAGATACAATGGTCATCTAAGTTAAATTCAGCCATTCCAGTCCATTTTAGTTCACTGATTCCTCGAATGTGGATGTTCACTCTTGCCATATCCCGTTTGACCACTGCAATCTACCTTGATTCATGGACCTAACATTCCAGGTTCCTATGCAATATTGCTCTTTACATCATTGGACTTTACTTCCATAACCAGTCACATCCACAACTGGGTATTGCCCCGGCGGAGGCATGGGTCTGCGGTGGCCTGCTGCAGGGTTCGGGGCACTGAGTGTAGCAGTGCGTGCAGGGGACCTTTTGAAGGAGGTCGCCATTATCTTCATTATCTCCACCATAGTTTGGCCTCAGGTCAAACAACAGGGAGGAAACACATCAACCCGTCAACAGAAAATTGTATTAATGATTTTCTGCACATGGCTCCTCCCGTCAGAACAAGACCCAGTTTCCCCCTCAGTCAGTCTCTCCCATCAGGAAGCTTCCATAAGCCTCTTATCCTTCTCCTTCAGAGCGCAGACAGACTGAAAACCACAATCACAGAAATTAACCAATCTAATCGCATGGCCCACAGCCTTGTCTAACTCAATGAAACTATGAGCCATGCCGAGTGGGGCCACCCAAGACAGACAGGTCATGTTTGGAGAGGTCTGACAAAACGTGGTCCATTGGAGAAGGGAATGGCAACCCACTTCATATTCTTGCCTTGAGAACCCCATGAACAGTATGAAAAGGCGGGAAGATATGACGCTGAGAGATGCACTCCCCAGGTCGGTAGGAGCCAACTCATCCGTGCGACAAACCCGATTCCCTTTGCTCTTTCTCAGCGCCTCCGAGGAGAGCCTCTTGCAGCCTCGGGTGTGAGCTGGCTGAGCAGCAGCGCGCAAGCGCGGTGAATGACGCGCACCACGCCAGCTGCTCAGGGAACTTGCGCATGCTCAGCTGCTCAGTCGCGTTTCACTCTGCAACCTCGTGGACTGTAGCCCACCAGGCTCCTCTGTCCATGCGGCAAGAATACTGAGTGAGTTGCCATTTCCTGCTCCAGGGGACCTTCCTGACCCTGGGATCGAACCGAATCTCCAGGATTCTTTACCACTGAGCCACCTAGATTACCTATGCTCTTTGGCCTTGCCCCTTCCTAAGCCCAGATATGCCATGTGCATTCACGATGCATCGCTGCTGGCCTGACAGACCCTAGATCTCCATGAACAGCCCTGGCCACAGGACCACCTGCTGTCCCAGGTCAGGGACTCCATCTCTACGAGGCTCAGCAGCATGCCAGGATTGACTTTTTAAAATTGTATCTAATTCTCTGTTGGAGATAGCAAGGCTGTGATCCGGAAACCCAGAGTTCTGCATTATTATTTTCCTAGCGGAGGTTGCTGCAAACTCCACTTGGCGTCTCTGCTCACCACGCATGTTTCTAAAGCCATATGGACTGTCAGGTCGAGTGGTCCCAGCAGCAGGACAACTGCACATGGCCTGGACCCGCAGTCTTTTCTGCTTGCGGCCCTACTCACTGCTGGGAGCTCTGAAGTCATGATCCCCATTCGGTTTCCCTCCTTAAGAAAAGGGAGCCAAGTCTTCACACCTTCTTGACAACAGGACAAACAAGACAACCACAGTACAAAAACCAGGAGAAGAGGCTCTCTTTAGCTAGAGGAAGCACAGAGAACAGCTCATCTGAGATCCATCAACCACTGACGCTCTCTGCTTCTGGAGAAAGAATGCCTCAGTCCTGAGAGCAGGGGTCTGGGCGATGCACCACCCCACTCACAGCAGGGTCTGTTTAAAAGGCCTGAGGGAAGTTTGGAGAGATGGAACAATTAAACAGATCATAGCAAAGGCGTGTATCTCAGGAGAGAGAGAAGCCAAGGCAGAGACAGACATGAGCCTGTTTTGCCAGACCTTTCTTAAAACTGGTTTCTGTAAGCACCCTCTGTGTCTTTAGAATAACTTATGTCTCCATAAACTTATCTGATTGGGCTTCTGTTCCTCACAACTGAGCATTCTCTGAGAGTCTGTAGGATTTTCTACCTATTGGTTGTAAGTAATTTGGAGAAAAGTAGTAGGAATTCAAACCTCCATGGTTTGGGAATGTAGTTCAAAGGTGAAAAGCACATTCACTGTTTGTTTAAACAGTCCTTTTAGTTTTACTTCAGCTTAACAGGAAGTAGAAACTGAAAAATGTATATCAAACCTAATGGTCTGATTAAAATGAAGACAACTCTTAAAATTAAGCCAAGCAATTTAAGGGTTTTATTTTACCAAAAGCATGGCTCTAATAGCATTCAGATAATTTACTGCCTAAATATCATGCAATATTTTGGGATGGGAAACATTTTAAGTACAATAAAGGATATGGTCATTATAGGATCATCTACTTGTGATGATCTGTAAAATTATCTTGAGAAATAAGATCTGTTTTGCCTTTATTACCCATTAATTAATAACATTATCTTAAGAAACCTGTCAAATCAGTTAGCTGTTGCTGCATAGCAAACCACCTCAAATCTCAGCACCTTAAAATAAGCATTTATTATTGATCAAGAACCTAAGGGTCAGCTGAGAAGTTTACTTGGTCCCTGTCTTCCCTGCTCACTCATACTTCTGAACTCAGCTAGACTTTAGGTGGGCAGTCCTGACTGGCTGGGTTCTGTCCTACATACCTGGTCTGGGATGACCTTAACTGGAACCACTGCATTCTTCTCCATATGGATATTTATCTTCCAGCCATGGGCTTGTTCTCATGGCAGGGGCAGGGGTCCAAGAGCCTGGATTAGAATTATTTAATTTCTCTTGCAGCTGAAGCTCAAACTGGCATTCTGTCAGATCCATCACATTCTATTAGCCAAGGCAAGTCATAGAGTGAACCCTCATGCAGAGATCAGGGAGACACTTCCATGATGGGTGGAGCTTCAGAGTCACAATGCCAGGGCCATGGGTACAGAGGGGACTGCCCCGAGTCCTTTGTGTAACCCATCACAGCTATGAAGACTGATAATCATTTTGTTAAACAAAGGACCAGCTGCATGACCATGAGTAATTTAATCACCCTGTCTGGTCTTCATTTTCTCAATTTATGAAATAGACAGCAATGTAAAACCTATCCCAAAACTGTTCTAAGTATTAAACGAGGTAAAATACAGTGCATGTCACAATGCCTGAAACATACTCAACAAATAACAATTATTTCTTACTGATATTGTTTATAACCTTCTCATTCGCATGTGAAACTTCTACAGATATGTGAGTGGGGGTGTACTGGAGGGGTGGGAGATGATAGTGTATTCAGACATGAGAAATGAACACCTTTACATTACATCTCACCAAATCCAATTCTCTCTGGCCTAAGCCATCTCTTGATGAGGAGATACTTTCATAAGTTATTTTATGCCAAAACGAGAACTTCATAAGTGGTTACCCAAGAAGGAAAAGAGTCCAAAGTGCAACTGCAAAGATGTCAAAAACAAAAGCCAGAAGATTTGAAAATAAATGCCCTGCTTTTACATTTGGCTTTATTTGCATTTTGCATCAGTGTTCTACATCAGTACAGAACAGGAACTGATCTCCCCTAAACTCAGTTTGTAGAACAACTAAGTTATTAACAGGATACTTTCTCTGTGGCCTTTTCTTTCAAAGATGCTTTAAATGAAGGGGAGTTCCTCCATCTTAACTGAGAACAAATTCAGAGAAGATTATGGGCAAAAGCTGACTAATTTTCAAACTTAATGTTTTATATTAATAGTGATTTCCTTTATCAGACTCACGCCTCTTTGGATTCTAAGTATCTTTGCCGAGTAGCGTCCTCATCTTCTATCACTGTGTCAGTCTCATACTCTTTTTCCAGATGACTAGTTGAAGTAAAGTAAAAATTTAAAAAAAACAAAAAGGCATGCATGTAGACTAGAAAGAACATTGAACATGAACTTAAAATTAAGTGTAATAAAATATGATTTCCTATTATGAATAACTAGTTGCCCACAAATTTGATAATTTAGATGAAACAGACAAAATCCTTGAAAAGTACAAGTGACCAAAACTCATACAAGAAGGAATGAATAAGCTGAATAAGCCTACATTTACTAATTGAGTAGAAGACTAATAGTATCCTAAGAAAGGGAGCACCAGACTCAGATGGTTTCACTGGCAAATTCTACCAAACATTTGAGGAAGAAATGACATTAAGTCTCCACAAACTATCCTATAAAATATAAGCAGGTGGAACATTTTCTACCTCATTCTATGAGAACAGAATTACCTAATATAAAAACTGGATGAATAAATTTTAAGAAAGGAAAACTATAGACCAATATCTCTCATATACACAGATGCAAAATCCTCAACAAGTATTAGCAAATCATATTCAATAATGTATGAGAAGAATCCCACAACTAAGTAAGATTTATTACAGATATATAAGGCTGGCTTAACATTTGAAAATCAATCAGTATAATGTGCCACATCATCAGGCTAAAAAAGGAAACTCACACAGTCATATATAGTTTATTGATGTAGTCAAAGCACTTGAGAAAATCCAGCATCCATTCATGGTAAAAGTTCTCAGCAAACTAGGGATGGCAAAGAGATGTGTCAACTTCCCAATTCAAATTAAAGAACAGTTACAAAACATCTGTTGCAAGGATCATACTTTTGGTGAAAAATTAGGCCTGTCCCCCTAAAATTGAGAACACAGTGAAATTGGCCTCTCTTGTCACTCTTATTCAGTGTCATACAACAAGCCCTAGCTAGTACAATAAGACAAGGAAAAGAAATAAAAGGTATACATGTTGAAAATAAATACATAAAATTTACTTTATTCATAAATTACATGTCTTTCTATGTAGAAAATCTGCAAGGATTGATGCACACACACAAAATAAAGTTCCTGGAACTAATGGATAAGTGTAGAATCAGAAGGTTTCATGTTGGGTCAATTTCTTTTTCATATAGCCACAATAAACAACAGAAATTTAAAATTATAAAAACAATACCATTTATAATGGCACACAAAATAGATGAAATATTAGGGATTCATGTAACCAAATACAAATAGGATGTATATGTAGGACATTACAAAATTCTGATGAAAGAAATCCAAGAGAAACTAAACAAATGAAGACACATGCCAAGCTCATGGATGGGAAGAGTCAACAATGCTAAAATGTTTCACTACAACCTGATCTATAGACTCAATGTCATTTCAATCAAACTCTCAGCCAGTTATTTTATAAATAATAATAAAAAATCTGATTCTAAAGTTTATACAGAAAGAAAGAAGTTTAACCAACACAATACTGTAAATGAAAAACAAACTTGGAAGAATCATTCTATCCGATTTCAAGACTTACTACAAAGCTACAGTAATCAAGATAGTGTCTCATTGGTGAAAGAACAGACACATGGAATGAAAACAATGAAACAGAACAGAGTACCTGGAAATAGACTCGCATAATTGGCCAGTGTTTGATGAAGAAGCAAAGGCAATCCTTAAAATGACTAAGAATGTACCAGTGAATGGTAGGTTGGATGGTCAGCCTTACTACAGAAGTCTTCAGCCATGACCCTCAATAAAACAAAAACAGAGACAAGACTCTTGAGAGAAGCTCTTTAGGTGTTAATTGAACTGATGTTTCTTATAAGCCAGACTATTAGTTTGAGGCTTCCTTGACTATGAGACCTGCTGCAGTTGAACAAAAATAATAAATTCATTCTCTTTTGATAAGAGAACTCTAGCAATGGGTGTTCCACAATAAAAAGGGATCTTTTGTTGTCTTTTTTCTCATTGCCTTTTGAGTTTCTTCATTCAGATAGCCAAATGAGAAATCAAGCTGAATTCAAATCATGATGCCATCACTTAAGAATCTAATATCAAAATGCTTCAGAACCCATGAATTCCTGAACCAATGAATGAACAGAGATGTGGCCACTTGGAGAACCTTAAGTTAAGATGACCCTTATCCTCTGACAAAGTTTATGAAGTATAACTGGATATATCTGATTTATTAATAGTTTTAACCTTTTTTTGGAAGCAATGACACAAGCTGCTTATGCCTCCATTACCATTGGCATCAATGACATGTCACTCCAAGAGCAGGAAAACAGAAAGTCTGAAAGAAACAGAAAAATCAAACAATATAATGAGAAAATTGTATGTTGAAGAGGAAGGAGGCAATTCTTGACAATATTATAAGACATTCCTAAAATAGCAGCCATTTTTCTTGTTAACAGCATTGGAAGCAAGAGAGCAGCAGTATTTTGGTGAGCATGGTATTTTTGCGTTAGTAATAAGTTGCCAAAAAGATAACTGGGAAATTGCAGACTTTAGAAATTAGCTTCATTGGCCACATGTTCTCGCTTCCCTGGGGAGAAAGATTTGTCTGAACTTTTCAAAATTGAAAGGAGCCAAGATAAACCACACTTATTATTTCTCCAGATTTTCTAACTGAAAGGATGTAAATTTCTTTATAGGAAGTGAA